ATAGCTAGTGCTACATCTGGAACAACCACAGCTTCCCAGCACACAGCCTGGCATGGTTCTTCACCAGAGAAGGCTCCTCCAGCTTTAAACTTTAGCCCCTTTCAGAAGGGAGAAGGACCAGTGGAAGAAGTTTAGAAAGATGAAATCACAGGAACAAGTTTCATAGTCTGAAGAATGCCAGCCAATATTCTAGAGGCTTATGAATGGAGCCTTGGGGTTGGGAATATGGCTTAGGGGTAGAGTACTTGCCTAGCATACATGAAGCCCTAGGTTCAATTCCTCAGTACCACATAAACAGAAAATGCTGGAAGTGGTGCTGTGGCTCAAGTGGTAGAGTTCTAGCCTTGAGCAAAAGAAGCTCAGGGACAGTGCCAACGACCTGAATTCAAGCCCCAGGAGTGGCGAAAGAAAGAAAGAAAGAGAGAGAGAGAAAGAAAGAGAGAAAGAAACAAACAAAAAAGAATGGAGCCCTGATTTTAGCTAGAAGGATGAGAAATCTGCTCAGGGTTCCTAGGAAAGGTGTCTTCATCTTAAAATATGTCTTCTCTCCCCTTCTCCTCTCCTTTCCTTTCCAGTGTCTTGCCCTACAAGTTGTTGGCAGTGCTCTAAACAAGCATAAAAGCTGGAGCAAAAGGTACTGTGACTAGGGCAGCAAAGCAGAAAACTGAGTGAATATGGGCCCTTATGGTCTTCACTTACTAAACCCATTGACCCAGACACCCAACTTCTGGACTCAGTGTCATCTAAGATCCTAGTAATCCTATTATTTGAGCCATTATGAGTTAAGACTTCATTAGTTATAGCCAAAAGTTATGGGTAACTGATCAGTTTGCAAGAAACAATGGAAGAACCTAGAACTTTGTGCCTGGCAAAGAGAGCCCTGGAGGTATAGAAGTAGTTTCCAGCCATGTAAGGGCCTGTCCTGTAGGAAGAGGTTGAGTTTGCTTCCAGCTCAGGACTATAGCTAGAGGAAGCATACTGACCATGACAAAGGGTCATCAGCATTTCAACATTCAGAGCCACTCAGGGATGCAACAAGTTGTTCAAGGAAAGTACTGAGTGTCCTATCCATTCTTGGTTGTAGAAAAAAACCATTAAAGTGGTTTAAATCTAATTAAAGTGTCTTGTGTTATAAAGAAATCCTTTGTAAAGACTGAATCTAGAAAGAAGATATGATGAACACTTCCCTGGAGTGAAGAGAGAAGACGAAACAAAAGCAACCGAGAAAGGAGGAAGGCAAGAAATATGCCTTCATTGCTACTATAAATGGTTGAACTTAAAGCCTAGAGTTCTCAGGTTTGGCACCAAAAGCATAATCAATAAGAAAGTTGATGATTTAGATTGTATCAAAACTTAAAACTTGGGGGCTGGGAAGGTAGCTCAGTGGTAGAGCACTTGCCTTGCATACATGAGGTCCTGGGTTCGATTCCTCAGCACCACATAAGCAAAAAGAAAAAAGCTGGAAGTGGCACTGTGGCTCAAGTGGTAGAGTGCTATCCTTGAGCTGTAGAGCTGAGGGACAATGCCCAGGCCCAGAGTGCAGGCCCCACAACCGGACGCCCCCCCCAAAAAAAAAACTTGTTCAGAAGATGTGATGCTGGGGCTGAGAAGGTGGCTCAGTGGTAGAGCGCTTGCCTTCCATGCTCAAGGCCCTGGGTTCGATTCCTCAGCACCACATAAGCAAAAAGAAAAAAGCCAGAAGTGGCGCTGTGGCTTAAGTGGTAGAGCGCTAGCCTTGAGCTGAAGAGCTGAGGG